ACTAGTTCAAACATTTTCTAGAAATTTTATTTTAAACATTTTCAGCTTTTTACTTTTACTACTACAATAATGGTTATACTGCTGTCTCCAGAAGGGTCAGGTAAAAAGAATACAACTGGCCTACTGTGAATGTCTTCATCACCCAGATCTTAATAAATCAAAATGACCAATCAGATTCAGGATCCGATCCTTTGAAAACTTGAGAGGCTGCAGGTTTGACAACAGATCAACACTTGGAAAGAGAGTCACCACAGTAAAAAATGTTTAAAACAATTTGAACAATCATTTAGTAATACGAAAGGTATGGAGTATATAGAGATTATAATAGAGACTGTTGAATAAACATTAAAGAAATCATGCACAATAGAATGTTTTCTTTGCAATATAACTGTTTTGTATTTACAATTTAAAAAGAAACTGCATAATACTTAAACGGAACTTATGAAAGCCTTGCAGGTAAATGATAACATCTTGTTCTATAAAATTTACTAAAACATTCGAAATTCAAATGAACATTGATTTTAAAATTTACTAAAACATTCGAAATTCAAATGAACATTGATTTTAACTTTGAAACATCGGCAATTTAGGAATATGATTAAAATAATTTTAATAGAAATGCATTAATGAATAAATCAATAATCATTTGCAGTAAACATTTTTTTCTTTAATAGAAAATAAAACTCAATTTCAAAGATGTCTTTTTTCTTTTTTACATTTTACAAATATTACAGTGAGGTGATCATGAAAACACTTAACATAATGTGAAATATATGCCTGAGTTTTGAAAGAGTGTATCTTGATAAACATGTGTGTTTAAGGCCTGTTTTATAATCAACATTTTTTTCCTATCCAAAAACGGTTGCTTGAGATTTTGTCGACAGAAGGGACGCAATCCTCATTTATTTTCTCTTTACCAACCAACATTTATTAAATCTCATCTGTATAAACCTACCGAATTAAAATTCACTTACCATGTAATGCGAAACTTATAAAACACAAAATTCTGCAACTGAGATCCGTTCAACTCACCACTTACTACTTGAGTATCTTTGAGTTTTCAGATTTTTTTTTCTACATAAAATTTAATTAAAGCAATGTTAAATTTGGTTTTGTACAGTGTACTGTCAGTGTGGACACAAACTTGAATAAAATACTTTACCTTCAGCATATTTTCGCAATTTTTCCAAAAATTAAACAGGTTATAACTAAATTGTCTTTCCTTTTGCTAAAAAACCTGAAATCCCTTTCATGGATTTCATGGATTATTTACCATTATTTAAGGAACGATTCTAATAATATACTGTGTATCATGATGGTTTTTTACTGACAATATATTCCAATCTTATAGCAGGAAGTTTTAGGAGCAGAAGTAGTTAATTAACCTTCGCCCTTTCTTTATGTTTTAACAGAAAAAAATAGAGAAAAAACAAATTTCATTTATTGATCTTTTCTTTTTACATGAAAGCTCTTTTACTTTGAACATATTGTTCATATGTATTGAACTTCGGAAACACTGTTTCCAATTTTATCAAGGAAATTTAGTAATACAGTTATCAGTACATAAGGTGTTCACACCTTAATGTATTCAGGAAAAAACACTGTGTTATTTCAAGTATTCTTATTCAACAGCTAATTGTCAAAACCTAAAATGCATCACTTTTGCTTCATATATTTGAACAATATCACATTCACTGATTGCACTTTCTTTTTTTTCTTCTTACATGTAACCAAGTTTTAACTTTATAACTAAAAACATATTGTACTTCGGATTCGTTCCCATGTTACTAGTGGCGAATATACAAATTTGCTAATAAATTTATTTGCACGTGGACAAAAATAAAATAGTAATGGGAGGCGGAAGGATTTTCTTCGTCTCAAGTTTTTCCTCGATTCCTTAGAAAATGTGACGTTAGTAAATTTTTAAAATTAAATAATTTTTAACAAATAAAACTTTCGGTGGATTACATCAAATGAAAATGATGTATTGCTACTCAAGCTAGACAATATTTAACTTATATTTTTAAAAATACTGCACTGCGTAATTTAAGAAAGAAACAAATTAATGTAATGGAATATGGAGTACAATAATCAAACTCAAATGTCCATTTAATTAATCAATACAAATCAGGAACAGAACAAAAACGGACCTGGTTCGGATCATGTGTCACGTAGGAGTAAGCATCTCCTGTCCACAAGTCACACCCGCCGTGTGCTCCTTACCATGATCGGACAAACGGGAAAATCCGTATGCAATGCAGTGTGTAAACAATTAGTTTGGAAAACATCAATCAGCATTCGACCTAATGATATATTAGGTGTATTTTTCGACAAGGTCATTGTACCGACCATAGAATTGACGTCAACGACTTTAAACAAAATTGTTGATATCCTTGTTTCATCAACTTGTTTGTCAAAAGCTTGTCTTGTTTTAATAAAGTGCCACGCCACAGCATGATACGCCCGTCAAATATTGTTTAATTATCATAAACAGTTTAGAGTGCAAGAAAATCATGTCAACCTTGATTCAAAGATTCCCATGATTTTTCCATTCCTTATAATATTTGATGTTTATACATCTCCTGTAGTATATGCATTAATTATAACAAATATTACATCCTAGATTTCTCAACTGGTAGTGTTAGAGCTTGACAAAGCCCATCTGCAGCCCCCTCCCCCCCCCTCCCTCTTTCATATTTGTTTGATATTTTCAAAAAAATAAATAAAAATATCATATTAAACAACATCAGTCTTAACAAATTAATCTATACCATTTAATTTTGAAAATAAAAGGCTGGCCATCAAGTGGCATATGCTATAAACTGACAAGCAGTTCTGTCTAATTCCCAAAGGATACAGATGAGAATTGCTTGATCAGAGATGCTCTAACAGATGCCCTAACAGAAATGATTGAGACAGCTAGCCTTCCTAGATTGAACTCATTAATTAATCTTTAACTGGATGCATGTCCACTCATTACTCCCTAGGGATTGAATGGATCTGCACTATCTGCTTTGTGGTCTGTATTGCAATAAAAATGCAAATATACGTCATTCTGTTAAAAACAGAGATTTTTTTTTTAATTTGTTACAAAGAATTATAAAAAGAAACAAAAAACTTGTGTAATCTTGTTGCAACATTTTTAATAAGGTTGCTGTATGACTCTCAGATTTGTAGGGACTATATACCATAAAACATTGTTTTTAAAATACTTGAAGATTTTTTTGAGATTTAATGTCAGACTGGTTTTAAGCTGCAATTCATATGGACAAACGGACATGCTGATTCTAATATCACCCCCCCCCCCCGGTATAATTAGTTTTAATTATATTATACAATATCAAATTAATTTATTATGCAATATCAAATTAGTTATAATTACTTTCACCAAATTCGTTTTAAGAGTTAGGCTAGACAACAAGATCTATTTAATCCAACATGACTGATTCTTTTGCCCAATTCCCAAGAGATATAGATAACACATGCTTGATCAGATATGCTCTATCAGTTAGCTCCTCATACTAAACTCATTAATTTCTCTCTAATTTGACACGCAATTTTCTGTTATCAAAATTCTCCTTGACCAGTGCTTGACAGTTACACCAATGGGAGAGGTGGAATTTCTCTTTTAACATTACATTTGTTATAGATTGCTGTAAAGTAATTAATGAAAAAATAAGTATTTTCTTGATTTAGCATTTTTTTCATAAGGATACTGCAAAACTCTTACATTTTTGAGATTTTGTAATTTAATAGTATATTGATACAGTTTTTTTTAAATTTCTCTTAACTTAAAGGTCACAGTGACCTTGCAATAGATTGTGACACACCTTCTTCCCAAGATGCATAACTTTGCCAAGTTTGATGATTCTAAGTCTAATAGTTTTCTAGTTATGAGCCGGACAGGATTTTTCCATATTTGGCCATAGCATCTTAATTGAAGGTCAAAGTGACCTACTTTTAATGCACGACACACCTTCTATCCAAGATGCATCAGCTGACAAAGTTTGATAACTCTACGCCTAATAGTATTAAAGTTATGAGCCGGACACGAAAAAGCTAACAGACGGACGGACAACTGGACGGACGGACGGACATGAACGCTATAACATAATACGTCCCGTCTTAAGACGGGCGTATAAAAATTGTACGTAGAATGTGCTCTTGCGTATCGAATCTAATGGGAGAGAGTTTTCGTATGCAGGTGAAATACAGGCGATAATGGTATATTGAGGTATAATGGTATATTGTCACTTGGATAAGGGAAATTGACGATAGAAAAGTTGAAGTCACCCCGTTTATCACAAAGTTTCGTGGTCCAGTGGTCATCAGAAAAACGCAATAAATTAAACGTCGAGACCCAAACCTTGTCAACAATCACGTTTTAAACTTTTTATCACTCTGTTGGGATGTATGTTATTTTTCAAAGGGGGTTAATTTCTTATAGTTTGCACATGTAGAAAACTGAGGATTCTTTTTTACAAAAAAAATATTTTCTACGACTAGATGGTTATTTTTCAACGTCGAAAAAATGACGCCCGTTCATTTTTCTACGGGGAGGGGGGGGTATTATTCGTCTTTACATCGGCAGCATTGACCTAGTTTTGAAACACCAATTGTAGCATCAGGATATCTAGCATTTAATCAGCAGGTCAAGAAAGCATTCAAATCGCAAGCAAAGAATTTTTAAAATTCGGCAAAATTACTTCCATGCAGTGCAGTGCGTTAAAGCACTACTCGTACTTTTAAAAAAAAAAATACATTTTCTAAAAGTGCGTGTAGCAATCTATTTTCTATCATCATTTTCGGCTTTTTTTCTGGGACACAAATTGTTATTTTCATTTTCTTAGAATATTCTTTTTTTTTTTTAAAGATCAAATCACCTGTTTTAATGTGCATTAAATGACACCTTTATTTTGGAAGAAAAATGCTGTAAAGTATCAGCAAGAACAAAATGTCTTAACCTAAATAAAATTTAATGTACAAGAATACATGTTATTTTAAAAATTTACAAAAGGTTTAGAGGATGCAGGAGTGCCAAAAACAGAACTGATATAAAAATTGGAAGATTGAAATAAGTTGTAGCTACTCTCTATTTTACCACATCTTTCAAGGAGATTAAGGCGTTTAGTATCTATTTCGTATTTTGTTAAACTTGAAATTTTTTTATACTTAATTTCATTTTTCATTCCCATAGAATTGCATTTTGACGCTACTTCGACCGCAGATGACAAAAGACTTTTCAATTTGTATCTTTCAGCAGCGATTATATAATCCAGAAGTCTTTCCCTGGTAAAATTTCCAATCGTTTTGTTAATGGTTTCACTGTTGACCTGTTTGCAATTAGCCACAAGGCGGTTTTCACACATTGCCATCTTGGCATTACTTTGAGCTTCCCAAGCCAGTTCCATTAATTGTAAAATATTTTGTTCTCCTAAGTAAAAAAAATCAGTCTATGTTAATGAAATATGAAAATTTAGATTATTTAGAAAGGTGTCGGCATGCAGTCAAAATTAACAGACTTCATTATAATTTACAACCTATAGTAAATCTTTACCTTTGTCTAAGGTGCATGCTATTTCTTGTTCCATAAAAGCGCATCGAACATCCAGAATTTTTCGTTGTGTATCAGCCGTAACCTTTGTTTCAATATTTGCCTGTTTTAGTGACTCAGTACTGTGTTTCGAGCAAAGTTTTATTATAAAAGGAAGAGCCACAGCCATATGATGTTCTTCCGCGCAAGCAGCATAATCCACTAGCGTTTCTGTTTCAATGTGATGGTCTTCCTCTTCACTTGTACGTTTGCAATTTTCTATGATAAATGATTCGCACTTATCTTTGAGGTCCATGATTTGGTATTCATCTGCCAGATATGCTACTTCCAGTACGTTTTTCTCTTTAATTATTAAAAAACAAAGATTATTTTGATAACTTTCATAGTATTTGCATAAGTAACGTCATCAAAATAAAAAATCAAGAGTCCGAAAGGCTTCAATGCGTCCATTGAATTAAAATTTAATATGATATTAAACATTGTACATAAATTTTAAAATACCACATTTATTTTTTGTGGGGCCTGATGTCATGGTCCAAATTAAACAGGGTGAGAATTAACCACACACATTCGAAAGTAAATGAACATAGAGTCTAATAAGGTTTTTACAAAATTATACACCTCCTTTTAATCAGTTTAAGAAGCTGGCAGAATTTACTTTAAATATTTCTCAAAGTATCAGTGCTTCGTAACTAAATAAACAACAGATATGATTGATTCAACTTTATTTTTAAGTTAATGATTTTCAGTGTGAGCATCGGCAAAGGATTCTGCAGATGCATCGACTGACACCTTTAGTTTTTTTTCTTACGGAAAACCCATCGTAAGCAATAAATATAATTTATTTCTAACCTATTAAGATCTTAGTTTTTTAAGCAGTCTGTTACGAAAGCCGGATAGGCTCATTTTTGACAAGATAAAAAAATAATTAACTCGTTATAACGAGTTAGTTATCTCGTTATAACGAGTTAGTATCTCGTTATAACGAGATAATTATCGCGTTATAACGAGTTAGTATCTCGTTATAACGAGTTAGTTATCTCGTTATAACGAGTTAGTTATCTCGTTATAACGAGTTAGTATCTCGTTATAACGAGATAATTATCTCGTTATAACGAGTTAGTATCTCGTTATAACGAGTTAGTTATCTCGTTATAACGAGTAAGTTATCTCGTTATAACGAGTTAGTATCTCGTTATAACGAGATAATTATCGCGTTATAACGAGTTAGTATCTCGTTATAACGAGTTAGTTATCTCGTTATAACGAGATAATTATCTCGTTATAACGAGATAATTACCTCGTTATAACGAGTTACTTATGTCGTTATAACGAGACAGTTTTCTTGTTATTATGATACTTAATAGCAATATAGGAATAAAAATGGCTGCATTTTTAAATGCCATTGAGTTTTTAGCAAGTAATTATCAGTCAAATTTAACTTGAACAATTGATAAATGGTTGAAAATTTAATTTGCTCTGGGGTTTACTTATGATTAAATCTTGAACTATCTCGCTGTCAATAATCATAGCAACTCTAAGGCGAACACATTTACACATTTTCGTGAACTCCTCCTCAAATTGTTGCATTAGGACGCGATATTTTTCTTAACATAATATTGCCAAACATACTTGCTTCAAACTTTAGCAATTTATTTATGACAACTATTTCTGATGAATGACACTATTTCGATATGTTTTGGACGACTTATACACATTCATATATCAATTTCTATACCGCTAAAATTAAATATCAGAGACAATATAAGTGCAACATATCGTTTATGCAACATATAATATATAGATTACAGTGTACACTTCTGAGATTCAGAAATGTTTTGAAGACGGGGGATGGTGAGACATCAGCAGTTAGATCATAGGCGTAGTAATAGAGGGGCTAATGTCCACACCACCACTTTTGAAAAGGGGGCGGTCAAGAGTATCTTTGTGCCCCTTCCTCCATATTTTTTTTTACCTGAGTAAATATCTCCCGAAAATAATGGCGAATACTCGTAGTTGGAATATCAAATCTATTTTTTTTCTTTTTACTTGTCAAATATTTTACTTGGTTTACCCCCCCCCCCCCTTTGAACTTTGTGACTAAGCTTATGCATATTGTCCACGATGATGAAGAATGATGAAGCAAAAATGATATTACGTCCTTCTAAGTAATAAAGACGTTAGATTTGATCTGCTAGTATTGACATTTTATCTAATATTCTGTCATGATTCACTGTTTATATTTTTTGCGGGGGGGGGGGGGGTCCAAGTTGTGGAGATTCACGGAGACCTATTTGAGATTCACGTCTGTTTAGCGGATCCTATATGTTTCACACATAGTGTCAGAACGTCAAACCAGAGTTTACAAAACAAAAAAAAAAGTTTACAGAGTTTACAAAGCCAGTCACTTTTATAATCTTTTTACTTAGGATTGATCAACGAATAGACCTAATACTACTTATGTACATTTATATTATTAATACAACATTGAAGCAATGTCGTTGATTATTTTCCTCATCACAATATTTATTATGTATACCTTACAAGCATATAATTTTTATTTCAAAAAGAGATTGATGATTTTGGGGGGGGGGGGGGGGTAATAAATAGAGGATATTCAATGTATTATAGTTGATATGGAATTTATTTCACGAGTGGGACAGGAGTTTTTTTAATATTTTCATGAGTGCGAAGCACGAGTGAAAATATCAAAAATCCTGTCTCAACATACAATACACATTTCTTGGCAAAATTTATGCTTGAAATACACCTTAAGTAATGCTTATCATATTGTAAACTTTAGATATTAAACTTTCATTCTATACCCAAAAAGGATCACATGTCAACTGTTTTTACTAATGCTGACCTTCATCTTTTATTGTGGCTTCCGTAGAATAAAGAGCTCCAAAAGTTTTTTTTTTAATTCTACCACATTGATAATAACGCAAAAATTACATATTGTAATTTAAGATTCCATGCCAAATTGGTAAATTAAAATGTTTCTTTCTTTTAATAAACAGAAGAAATATATAAATTATTAAGTGATAAGTACAGTATTAGTTCTTGATATTCATCATATTTATTATTGAGGGGAAGGAGGGATTGATGATAAAAACAACGTGAATTTGGTTTTTTGTCAGACATTGAATTTTGATCTTGCCCCTTTAAGACGATAAAATTGAACTGGATTATCAAAATCTGATCGTTAAAGCCTAACAAATGGTTTCATATCCACATGATTTATTCGGAATATTTAAAATAATGGGATTGTTTCTATGCATTTTTTATTGCGACAAATATTACGCAATCATTATTATAATTTTAACAAATTCAAGAAAGCTTGAACAGGGCAGTTAAATCAGCCAGAGTATATCATTTTTTTCTGATCTCCTTGTACAAGTTGACAAAATTTTGATGTTATATACATTCCATTTGAAGATGACACTAATTCTATTTTGCAATTTTAAGGTATAATACAACAACAAGGCGGTCACAAGTTTCCGTATGTTTGTCTTCGGTCTTTCCAATAAACAATACTAATCAAAAGCATAACACAAAAAAACTAGTATGCTGTTCCATAAAATCTTTATCACGCACACTTCAAACAAATTTGATCGACTTGCTTCTGTATATTTCCTATAAATAATGGTCTATTCTTTACTTAGATATATCAATTCTAGATGATTTTTTATCTCGTTATAACGAGATGATTATCTCGTTATAACGAGATAACTAACTCGTTATAACGAGATACTAACTCGTTATAACGAGATACTAACTCGTTATAACGAGATACTAACTCGTTATAACGAGATAATTAACTCGTTATAACGAGATAACTAACTCGTTATAACGAGATAACTAACTCGTTATAACGAGATAATTTTCTCGTTATAACGAGATAACTAACTCGTTATAACGAGATAATTAACTCGTTATAACGAGATAACTAACTCGTTATAACGAGATATTAACTTGTTATAACGAGATACTAACTCGTTATAACGAGATACTAACTCGTTATTACGAGATAATTATCTCGTTATAACGAGTTAAATATTTTTTTTGTCTTGTCAAAAATGAGCCTATTCGGCTTTTGTAGTCTGTAACTTCGAACATGACAAAAGCGTTAAAGTAACGGTAGAGTTTTTCATAGTTCAAGATGAAGATCGTTTAACGATAAGTATAATGTCTAAATCGAAAATACTATTTTAAAATATCAAATTCCAATTTTTATGAATAATCAAAAACTATAAACAAGATATTCATGGGACACAATGTTCACTGAGTCACCTTTGCCTTAAAGCTTGCTTCTAATGCAGAGGATTTTTAAAACGCAGACCCCCTCCCTATATTCTTATGAAAAAAAAATATTTACCCTATATTGCGACCTTTCCCTACACTCTTAGGCCATGATTTGAGCAGACCTGAAGCTACATTATGTCAAGCAGTTTTCAATAAAGTTTCAACTTCCCTAGCCCAGTGGTTCTTGATAATTAAATTTTTAAATGACCCAACACTATTTTTTTGTTTGTTTTTTTTTCCTTGATTATTTCACCTTTAATTTGAAGGAGGAATGACCCTTCGTTTGAAGAAAATAAACCCTTCTATACCTAAAGGTGCTTTGTTGCTGGTTGAAATTATTTTACTGTTTCAGAAAAAGTTGAAAATATAGAAAGTAAGATGTAAATCAAAACATAGAATGCAGACAGATGTTGAGCAGAAAAGCTCAATTGATGAAAGAATAAAATATCTTCCTTTGTTTCAATATACATGAACAACTTGGTAACAGTTTCAGTAGTTGCAGAAGAAAAGTAAATAATCCGCTTTTGGATTGGGGAGGGTGTAATGACTAAAATCCTTCTTAATGAGATATTTACACCTACCTAGCTCCTTAACTACATGTATTTGCAATTCCCCATTTCCTCCTACAATGTGTCAATATATTTTTTGATTCGCCACGATTTCTCCTCCAATTATCCCCTTATACTATAACTCTTCTGTTTTTCTCAAATTTCTTAACGTACGTCGCAGATTCTGCATTTTCATTGTACGCAAAAGCAAACTAGATTAACTATCCATCCTTTAATTGACTCTTTCGATGCTTCTATGTGATCATTTTGTTGGTAGGTTACAAACAATATATTGGAGTCATTGGACCTGTGAATATATTTAGTTTTATTGATATGATTCTTCAATGCACGACAAGGTAAAAGTTTTCTTCTGAATCTGTGGCGCATGAATCAAACGTAGGAATATAATTAGGCTCCCTAGGTCGAATAACTGTTGGCTTTTTGCCAGAAATTCCATAATTGGTATCATTTTTATCCCTTTCCTCTCAA